GGAAAAACCGCAAATAAAAAAAAACACTTTTTCTTAAACTTGAGAGAACACCTCTCTAGGAATCTCTAGGTCCTCTAATGCAACTCTGTGGTCCACATCCACCAGAGGTTGACAACAGAATTGTGTTGGAGGATCTACAAATGCCTAGAAAAATGTTTTCTTTAGGAATCTCCAGGCCATCCATTGCAACTCTATGCTCAACTCCCAGCAGAGTTGCGCTGGCGGATCTAGAGATTCCTAGAGAAAACCTAGTACAGTTGCCCCTCCTTTCTCGCAGACTTAAAGTCCAGGGTTTTACATATTCACTGAGGGATGACCTCTGTGAAAATCAACAGGGTGCGCCCCCACACCCCGTTCAAGCCTATGGGGCTTGAATATTGCCGAATCTTCGTTTTCGTGGGAGTGGGGGTCTGGAACAGATCCCCCATGAAAACGGAGGGCCAACTGTATTCAAATTCGTGAATAAGCAAATCCGCAAATGTCAAAGCCACAAATGTGGAGGGATGACTGTAGTCTTAAAAGTCTTGAGAGGATCAGTAAGCAAAGAACATTCTCCTTTCCTGATGCATGACAAAGAAGCTCAGACAAGGTACTTAGAGGAACAGTAAGGTTTTTACTGGTAAAAGTGGTGAGAGAAACCATTTAAAAAGCTACAGCTCTGAGGTTCTTCTTTTCTTTTCCCATCAAGAGACAAACCTTTTCTTGATCCCCATTAAAAAGTGTTGTCACACACACACACACACCACAGTACATCTCCAGGTCAAGGGAGAGGGGAGCTGCACTTGCTGAATTTCTGCCTGCAGACACAGCAGCACAGCCATGGGGAAGGGGATCATACCACAAAAGGGAAAGGTGCTCTGCACATGCTCAAGCACACTTATTAGCTGAAAGCACAGGTTATCATGATCCCTAGCACTGAAGAGAGACTTCAGTATTAAATCCAATTGCATCAAATGGCAGAGGAGAAAATATGCAGAAGAAAACATATATATGTGTGTAGATACATGGCTGATATAGTGACAACTTTACTTTCTGATGGTTTAAAATACACAAACGTTGTTTCATGCTCACAATTATTATTGTGTATGAAATCACCTTCAGGCTGTGTGCACAAAGTATATATGAAACATAAATGAATGTCATGTTTAGACTTGGGTCCCATCTCCAAAATATCTCATTATCTATAAAAGAACTAGATAAGATCCTAAAGTGTAAAGATAAACAACTGAATGCTAAAGTTAGAATTGTACATACAAGCCAGCGTATTACCCATCTGTATGTACGGATGTGAGAGCTGGACAGTGAAGAAAGCCGATGAAAAGAAAATCAATTCATTTGAAATGTGGTGCTGGAGAAGAGTGATGAGGATACTGTGCACAGCCAAAGAGACAGACAAATAGGACACTGAACGGATCAAGGCTGAATTCTCCCTGGAAGCCAAAATGATCAAATTATTAGAAAAGACAATACTAGGGAAGGTAAAAGACAGTAGAGAGAGGAAAACCCAGGCCAGATGGTTTGACTCAATCAGGGAGATCGTGGGTCTGAGTTTGCAGGACCTAAGCAGAGCAGTGGAGGACAAGGGGGTCTTGGAGATGTCTCATGCACAGGGTCACTATGAGTTGGAGTTGACTCAAGGACAGTAAACAACAACATATGCAAATACTGTATTCCAAAATCCGAAAAACTCCGAAATCCAAAACACTTCTGGTGTCAAGCATTCTGAAGAAGGGAGACTCGACCTGTATATATGTGTATATATACACATATGTTGTTGTCGTGTGCCTTCAAGTCATTTCTGACTTTTGGTGACCCTATCATGGGTCTTTCTTGGAAAGAGTTGTTCAAAGAAGGAGGGTGGCCTTTGTCTCCCTCAGAGGCTGAGAGAGTGTTACTTGCCTAAGGTCACCCAGTGGATTTCCATGGTTTCCAGAGCTGCAGTCCAACTCTCAAACTAGTATCCCACACTGGTTCTCTAAATACAACACACACACACACACACACACATATGTGAGAGCCAGCTAGCATGGCATAGTGATCTGAGTGTTGGACTACGACTCTGGAGACCAGGGTTTCAGTCTTGAAAACCCATTGGGTGGCCTTGGGCAGGTCACACTATCTCAGCCTCAGATGATGGCCATAGCAAACCCACCTCAACAAATCTTGCCAAGAAAACCCCATGATAGGTGACTTTAGAGTCACGCAACAACAAATATCCATAGGTTTACACATGTATTCATAGACATGTATATACATGTATGTACATATGCATGTAAACATATGCATGCATACATGTACATACACATACATCACATATATACATGTACATACACACATACATACATATATGCACAGGCAAATATATAAATATACATGTATACACACGCACACACACACACACACATATATACATACATATACATGTATACACACATGCATATATACACACGCGCACACACATATACATGTACATGCATACATATATGCATATACTTAAATATACATATACTCATACATACATACATATATGCATATGCACATGCATATATATATATATATATGTTCATACATACAAGTACATATGTGCATACACACATATATATATACATATATACATGTACATATATACACACACATATAAAATGTATATGTATATGCACATACATATGTATGTATGTGCACACACACACATATGTGCACATACATATGCATTTTTGTTTTCTTTTT